CGCGATGTCGTTGGACAGGTATCCGGCGCCGCGCAGCTTCTCGATGTGCCCCTCCGTAACGGAGGAGGCCATCCACTTGCCTCCCGCTCCAGACATGGCTGGAGAAGGTTGAGGCGAGATGTGCGGACTTGGGCGCTGGAGCTCGAGTGCGCGGAGATGGATAAGCAAAGGAGGAAGAAGGCGTAGGTAAAAAAGGTGGATCCTTATCCCCTTATATATGGGCGGACGAAGACTATGCGTCCCCACCGGCCTGGTAAAACTCGCTTATCTCCCAAGCGCCACAATCAATGGCGCGGTTGGGTTACCCACGTCCGTATTGATGGGAATCCCGGAATAAGGGGAACACGATCTCTGCTTCGACAAGACGTGCCAAGGAAACCGCTTCGCTAAACGCGCTGAGGTGGTATAATAAAAACGATTCAAGTAAAGGCTTGGTAGTGGTGTGACGTCACGCAACAAAATACGTCCGCAGATTGAACTTGTGTGCATATTATTCTCTCTACGATGGTATGTGGAATTTATTTTGCAGAGCCGGACACTATCCTGGTGTTCGCAAACTTCTATGAATTATACGGAAGAGGAACCCGCCTTGCAATACCGAAGACAATATGTGCGCCGGACTCGTCGTCATTGAAGCCTGGTTCAGGGGCTACTGAGGGAGTCCTGGACTAGGGGGTGTCCGGATAGCCGGACTATCATCATCGGCCGGACTCCAAGACTATGAAGATACAAGATTGAAGACTTCGTCCCGTGTCCGGATGGGACTTTCCTTGGCGTGGAAGGCAAGCTTGGCAATACGGATATGTAGATCTCCTACCATTGTAACCGACTCTGTGTAACCCTAGCCCTCTCCGGTGTCTATATAAACCGGAGGGTTTTAGTCCATAGGACGAACAACCATTACAACAATCATACCATAGGCTAGCTTCTAGGGTTTAGCCTCCTTGATCTCGTGGTAGATCCACTCTTGTACTACCCATATCATAAATATTAATCAAGCAGGAGTAGGGTTTTACCTCCATCGAGAGGGCCCGAACCTGGGTAAAAACATCGTGTCCCTTGTCTCCTGTTACCATCCGCCTAGACGCACAGTTCGGGACCCCCTATCCGAGATCCGCCGGTTTTGACACCGACACTTACACCGTCTTATTTTCTGTCATAATTGGTTAGCTGCTTTTTATTAACTAGAAGCAGTTGCGCACGTTGCTGCGCTGTTTTCTTTGTAGCGTTTTTACATTGACCATCCACTCATTGAAATGTTACATGATGATATGTCAAAAAATATTTTTCTCCCATGACGTTGCACTCTTTCTTGTCCTGAATATTGGTTATATATATATATATATATATATATATATATATATATATATATATATATATATATATATATATAATGCCTGATCGTATCGGAAAACTATATCCATTATCTACCAGGGCGGTCTAAAAGCAATCACACAATTATGAGGAGAGAAAATATTGACTCTTCACATAGCCCATCTTACTTTGGAATCACTTGACAAATAATTGCGGCAATTACTTTGCAGGTAAAAATGCTTGAGAGATGCATGATATTGGTTAACTGTAACTATACAAACCTGCAATATGAATTGTGCCTCACTAAATTATGATCAAAGGAAAAATGCTACTTTACTCTCTTTTCTGGGATATTATCTCTCACAACAAAGCTTTAGGCAACGCAAACAAAGGACCATTATCATCATGCCATAGAAGACAACTGACCAAAGTACTCCTTTTGGTAATATATAGACATTGATGCCGTCAGGAGGACACAATACTAAATGGATACTGAGTTGCTAAGGCTGATCTAGAATATGATCAAAAGCAGCATTAATACAGTTAATTAATCTGCTAATATGATCAATAGAAAATTTCAACAACAATAAAAATACAGACCTATTAATAAAATTGAGAAAAGAAAACAGTTAATTAATCTGCTGGAAATTTAGGATTGATTAGCACACAATGTTGCAGAAACATATTGGTGAAATAGTAACCACGCAAAGAATCATGGAAAAACAACTATTGTCCGGATCGTGAGGCTAACAATTAATTGCATAGCTAGTAGTAGTAGTAGTAGCAGCAGCAGCAGCAGCAGCCATCGATTAACAGCTTCTTGTCAACCTGCAAGTAGACATGGTGGAATCTGCTCGTCAGACAGATGGTTCGCGTCCGACAGGCCTCTCTTCATCTTCTGGAGTAGACAGACAGTTGGGGAGTGTCATCTCCCCAAGCAGGCCCTCCCGACATAACACGAAACAATTATAATGGAATAACTATCATGCCAACTGGACCCTTAAAACAGTCAGGGTATCGTCCAGTGGTGTGTAGAAAAAGGGATTTTCGCATGAATAATGCCACAGTTACCTCAAGCGATAGACTTATAAATTTTGCGGAGTATCCAGTCAACTGCACCCCCCTACAATGTTACCACTGGAGCTCTCATGTAAATATAAAATGGCCACATATATCTACTTTGTGGTAATCACTGATATGCAAATTTGCAACACAATGAAAATAGTACTCCCTCTGTTCCTAAATACTCCCTTCGTTCCTAAATATTTGTCTTTCTAGAGATTTCAACAAGTGAGTACATACGGAGCAAAATGAGTGAATCTACACTTTAAAATATGTCTATATACATCCGTATATGGTAGTCCATTTGAAACTCTAAAAAGACAAATATTCAGGAACGGAGGGAGTATATGGTAGTCATTTTGCTCTTTTGTCCCGAGCACAGTGTGTGTGGAACACATGGATTACTCAATAGTACTTTTGAAGTAGCACAGACCAAGCTGGAAAAATGAAGGCAGCAAGTGCACTGCAAGTCTGCAATTGAAGCGGCATACAATCAATCAAGTGTACTACCTGACAGCTTATCGATCCGATTCAGCTTCGATTTAACGAGGAGATAGAATCCATGAGTTGAATTTAATCTGTTGTGGTTCAATATTTTTGTAGACCAGCTGAATCTGTCCAGCTTGCGTCTGGCATCCAGATCATGACCTTGTGCTTACTATTATTGCTAGGTAATGTTTGGTTTGAACTTCATACTCTTCTTCAGTGATTAATCATGTAAGCTTTCACTGATTTCATAGCAAACATTTCAATTAAATCTCATTGTTTTGAGTAAGAAATACATGTTTATACAAATTTCAGTCATTTTTACAGGTCTTGCAAATAAGTTCAACCATGTTTATACAAACTTGGTTGGCATACATGCATCTCTTCTTCACCTGTCCGACTTCCAGAAGCGTTTGGCGCGACATCGGCGCCAGGCCTCGCTGCAACCCAATCAGTAATCTGTGTGCATCAGCAAGGCCCTCACACCTGCCTCCTACACTAAATGTGTTCATGCTCTCCTGAATTGTGCTCTGGAAAATTTGGGATGCAAGAAACCAAATGGTTTTCAACGGGGTTTCTCTTGCCATTTGCACAATTCGCTCCATAATTGTGGAAATTGCTTTGGTTCTCTCACAGGCTAAAAAACACTGCTCTTTGTGATCACGCTGTTCTGTGCTGTGATCACTTGTAAAACAATTGCAACAACTCTTTGAAATATATTCAGGTGGGGAGCCCCCCGGTTGACCATTTAAAAAAAAACTTCAGAAACATCTCGAAAGAAATCATACTGATTGCACAACTGTTTTAGACAATTCATACAAGTGTCGCAGCGCGCGGGGGAGGCTGTGGTTTTTAGGCCCTGCTGGGTGGAATTGCCGTACGTTGATTTAGGCAAAACATTTCGGCAGAGTTTCAGTTTATTTGGTTGGATTACGGTTGTGATCTGTGTTGTATTTAGGGCCTGCTGTTTTGGCTGTATTGATTCTGCTGTGTGTTGTGATTGCATCGGTTTCAAATTACTACTCCCTCCGTCCCAAAATGTAAGACCATTTTTGACAACGAAGAAGTGCAATTTCAGAAGAAAAAAACCCAGCTTGGAGTACTACTCCTCTGCCTCCTATCTTTCTGAAAATAGTGATATCCATATTTTGTTATATACTCCCCCCTATCTTTCTAAAAATAGTGATATCCATATTTTATTATATGCGTATTGATGTATGAGGTGCAGCTGGATTGATGAATCCTGAGTGTAGAAGCACCCTGCATAGCTTCACACCACAGCTTGGGTGCTGATGAATAACTGTGAAATTGCTCCCGTTTGGATGATTTTAAACTTGTAATGCTACCCCTGAACGTACGTCAGTTTCAGATTGGATTGGTCAGAAATTCCTTTCGGACTGTAAAAAGAAAAAGTCAGGGCTTCAAACAACACACCCAGCTACAGTAACAAACAAGAATAGATCAACCAACACAGCGCCCGATTGATCAAAATGACTGTTATCTATAAAAAAACAGGGGCAGACATAATGACCGTCAGCTATACATAAACAGTAATAACGGCTAAGCTAACAGTGAACTAGGGACAGTCATCTTTGTGTTGTGCTCTGTGGATCTATATCAAAGCTGAACAACTCCATAATGTCATGCCGGCAGGTCCATCAGGCACATCAACGCCTGCACTGCATGGGAGCTCAACAGCCAAAACTCCGGCTTGCGGCGGCCTCTTTGCACCTGGAAGCCAACGACGCCCGGGCCAATGACCGTCAGACAACGTGGCACCGGGAAGGGACTCCTCCCAGTAGCATTAGCATTGCGGGGGCGGACATAATCTGGCAACGAAGTCTTTCGAGCTGAGACCAACCCAATGCATAGCAAAATAATTCATGCTAACTGCAACAACTGCCAAGAGTGAAAACATGGTGAACTCATGCTATCTGCAACAACTGCAAAACATAGTCAAGTTGCACTTGGACAAACTAGAAACAACATACCAGTTGCGCACTAGAGTACCACATAGCATCCCACATACAAACAAGCATTCCACAGCTCCCCAAATAGGTTCTTTTAGCTGCTGCCAGGTCCTTACGACAACACAAAGCCTAGCTATAGGTACCACTAGTCTTGTCATAGACCTAGTACTAATTAACTTGCAGAGACCCGTTCTGCTTCATGTAGTCCTCGAGGTCAAAAGGGTCAGCAAACTCGAAATCAGAAGCTAGCTCGTGGGAGTAAACTGGACCTTCAGCGTCCTCGCGTCCGCTCCTGAATAGCTCTAGTTTGCATGCTTTGTTGTTCCACTTTGCGCTCATCAGAGGCATCAATTTGGCGTCCGCATTACCCACCGAGGACGAGGAGAAACACTTGCTGGACACCACAACCACCATCCGCTCCAGCACCCGCCCTCTCTCCGCGATGAACTTGAGGAAAGCAACCTCGCTTCTCGACCCCTGGAACTCGTAGAAGAACACCTTCTTCACGCTCTGCACGACGCATTTGATGGGACCGCCCTCCTGCCAGAACTTGAGATTCACCTTGCCAGTGGACTCTTCAGATATGGGAGGGGACTGCAAGCAAATGAAATCAAACAGTGCATCATAGTTTGATGTTAGATATATAGTATAATCTATGAGTACATATCATGCAGCAGCAGCAGCAAGCCAACGATAGTAAAACTAATCTTATTAACAGCTCTGACCATGCTAGATAAGATATACAATCAGTTATGACCATGCTAGATATAACACATTGCAACTGTATATCATGAAGTTAACGAATTTTACATGGACATGGAGCGTATCCAGGTTGGGGAAGCATCTGAGGAAGGCAGACACTTTCTTGACAACATTGCGGACACCAAACTGCACCTCTATGCCCAAAATCTTGACAGTAGGGACAATGTTCTCCCTGCTCCCAGCCTGCAATGCAGCAAAGACAGATAAACTAATTCAGATAATAGATATAATTGGCACAGAAGAGCTACACATGCAAGTTAAATTAGGATCTAGTTCTACCACCAACTGTTGCTCTCCTGGCAGAAGATATCCCGGCAGACGCAGATTAGGTGCACGCCCAATCTTGATCTCAGAGCGCTCCATGGTGGACTTCATCCCCCCCTCGCCAACAGTTTCGCACTGCAAGAGCCTCTCCAGGAGAGGGGCATCCACCACGTCGATGTACTCCAAGTAGGTGAAGGCCAGCTGAAGGCACCACAGGCTGTGGCTGACGAGGCGGAGGCGCACTCCGGTTTGGCTCCACATGATGAGGAGGAACTCGAGGACTGGGCTTCTTTCGAGCATGAATGCCAGATCACGATCCTCCATGACAGTCATGCATAGGCCAGAGCTCCCGGAGGTTGGGAAAGCTGGCGCCGCGCGGCACGGCCGTGGTGTCCGGAAGTATCCAGACCAAGGTTTTGGTTACCAGTCGAAATTTCGAGATTTCCCATGGTTACCGCATATTTCCTTGCCCCTCGGTAAATCCCCGTAC